ACCGAGGTTTTCTATTACCTGTCATATGACAGTCTGGATTGGAAACAGCAGGTTGGCGCCCCCTGCAGGAAGAACAGGAAGGGGAGGGTCGCGGCGGGGGAATTCACCTCTGGGTCTTTCCCAAATGAAATGAGCGGGTAGGGCTGAATCAACTGTATCAACATGGCTAAAGTCAATCACATCCTGATGTTCTTCCATTTAACGCTCATTTCATTCATAACATCATAAACACAGGCCTATCATTCTGTCAGGTTTCTCTGAATTGTGTGAAATGGCCGAATAAAAAAAGGAAAAACGTAACGATTTTGTGGTCACCCCCCCCCCCCCCCTCAAGGTCAAATAGTTTAGTCCTGACTGAAGGAAACTTATTGAGTCAAGAGCCAAACAGAAGAGATGAACATAAAAAGGCTAAAACCACCAGGTGCCCCATTCAGGAATAAAAAGAAAAAAGAGGAGAAAGATAAAGGTATGTAGCTCTCATGATGCATGTTTTACATTTTTTAACCAGTTAACTGGGATTTTAACGGTTAAATGCGGTCAGCTAGTTGCTAACAGAGCTAATAGGGCTGAAATATTGAAACGAATATTCAAATGGTTCAAAAAAATCCTTGAATCGTTTTTTACTGATTCAAACTAGGATTTGTTAAATGCTCACTGCAGCCCGTGGCCTGCCTGAACAACAACAAACACATGTTGATCATGTTCACATAATAATAAATAAAACAATTCTACAAGCAGAAGAGAACTCCCCAGTCACCACTAACTATCCTGTTTATTTATTGCAGATGGCTGCACTGATTATTTTTACATGATTTGTTCTGTAGAAGTTGGCATTTTTGGTAGTCTACAGTTTTTTATGTCAGTTTAAATGACAATTTCAGAGGCAATTCTAAAATATTACGGATCATGATAAAGATCTATTGGAGATCTACCCCAACTTTTGGACTGCTCTGCCAGTCACTGTGGCTCAAGCTGAGAGGAGCTTTTCAAAACTTGATCAAGTCATACCTGAGGTCACCTGTGTTTCAGGGGCGGCTCACTCACCTGGCTCTGATTAGTATTCTTGCTATTTAGAATATTTATTATATTTAATGTTCATATATTCTTAATATTTAGTTATTGTTTGTTTTTGTATATTTGATTCTATATATTTAGATACAGTATATAATGTATATTTCTTTACATTCTGACAACTTCATAGTGTGTGTGTGTGTGTGTGTGTGTGGGGGGGGGGCTCAAAGGGGGCCTCGCTCGGGGAGTAATTCCATGTAGAACCGCCACTGCCCACCAGGAGCTAATATGATGCTGTGCATCGTTACAGGATAAAAACACTGAAAGAAGACATGGAGAGGCTCGGTGAATGAGAACCCCTCACAAGCTGCGTTTGCGAGTGCGTCGAAGTCGGTAACGAGCATTTATCCTAGCTAACATGTGCGTGAGAAAACCCAGGTGACGAGTTCCACTCCGCACCAGCAGGTGGCGACATGCGAGGGTGGAGCAGACGAGTCAAATGGGATATTCCCAACAGCCAAAGGGATGGACACGTCTGAGCAGAGTGGGGATGATGCTGTTCTGCACGGATCACCTGATCCGTGTGCATGCAGAGGAGGCCTGGCCCCTACCGCATCATCTGCTTCAGCTGGATTAGAAGCAGCCAGACTAACGCGTTTCAAAGCCAGCATCAGTCTGTTTAAGGCAGTAGTTTGTTTTTCTGATGCAGCGAGCGAACACTCGCCTCCTCCAGCCGTGTGCAGCCAGTCCAAGTCAGCTTCACCACAGGAGCATCTAACACCTCCCTGATGAGGAGTAACATCCCGTCTGCCCGAGGCAGTCCAGGACAAAACGACAAGTGTGTCTAATAAAGTCATTAAACGAAGTCATCAGTCAGAAATCACGTATTTATAAGTAAACAACTCAATTAAACTAAAGTTCTGATCTCTTTAAAATCATCGTTATTTTGAGATCGTCTCATTTTTACCTCGTCTTCAGAGGCGCTGCCTAAAAATCGTTTCCTCTTCTAATGAATCCGGACTTAAAGAAGCCGAACAAACAATAAAAAGCAGAAAAAACACTTTAATGATGAAGAAAGGCTGAAAAAAGCTCGTGTACCCCCCCCCCCCCCACACACACACACACACACACACACACACCCGTTGTGAAGCGGGCCAAGCGGCTGCTTCATGGCAGTCTTTCAGAAGCTGACAATAGTTTATTTCAGGACGTTGAGATCATGGTTTAACTGCCGTCTTTCATTTACCTCTGAGGACTTGATCTCTGAGGCGGCGCCAGAACCGCGCGGAACGCCGACGGGTCCGAGTGAGAGGTCGGCGCGAGTGCACAGAGGCAGACGAGTTTATTCAATGAAACCTTTTTAGTCCCAAAAAGCCAAAAGAGAAAGAGCTCAGAGTCGCAGTCAGCGGGCGGTTTCATCCTGTTTTATCAACCCGACTAACTCGGTTCTCCTCCTTCGCCACGACCCAAACACACGAGACCATCAGCTCTGCGTGTTTCCTATCCTCCAGCAGAGTCGGGCTGGCACGGGGAAGTTTACAGGATTCAACATAAACTTCTCCGTCCTCAGATGTGTTTGAAACCCGTCTGATCAGCTGCTGGCTGAGTCGGAACCGGCGAAGATTCTTTTTGATCATTTTAAATCTCAAATATCAGGAGTTTCTGTTTCCTGGTCCTTGAACGCACCACTGCTGAGGGTTCGGTCTTGTCAGCAACACCCGATCTTCCACTAGGAAGGTTTAGATTGACAAGAAGATCCACCATAAGTTTGGGTCAGAATCGGTATCAGCAGGCTGGAGCTGGAAATCGGTACCGGCCCGATCCCGTGGAGGGTCGGTGGGACGTCCCTCAGAACCTGACTTATGAGTAGATGTACTCACAGCACTCGATGGGGTTGGACGCAGCCTGCAGAGACACGGTCCTGCCGGTGGTCTGGGTGAGATGGACCCGGAAAACCATCCGCACACGCGTGTTCTTCCGCCCGATGTCCGTCTCGCCCTTCCTCAGCTCGATGTCGGAGTTACGCAGCTTCAGGATTCCTGCGCAGTCGATTCTGTTTGTGAAAACGAGGCGTTAGACGCTTTCATGACAGGAAGTAAAAACAGCGTTTTGAACCCTGACCTCCATCTCTACCAAACTCATCCCAACTTCTTATTTCCCAGACAGTTCCAGGCTTTTCCAGCTGGACGCTGCATTCCTCAAAGTCTAGTGAATGTCAACTTTTGCACACATTTGAACACTCCCAACATTCTTCAGGCTCTGGTGAAGCAATCAGGTACGGATGCTGAGGAGGAATGATGACTCAGGAGAACTTTCACTGAGAAGCTCCACCTGGAGGGGGGACCGGTTTCTGAATCACGCTATGAAGCAGAACCGGTGAGTTTCAGAACGGCTGCGGAGTCGGAGTTACGAGCACGAAACCGAGAAGATGAAGCAGCTCAGAGCTTCTCCTGTTACCCAATCTCTGTGTTCGGAGCCCAGAGGATCAGGAGAAGTCCCGCCTGTCCGAGAGGAGCACTGAAACAGCAGCTGGGGAACTGTTCGTGTTCACATAAAGACTCGATGTGGGACCAAATCATTTATGTTTCTCCTGGTAAAAGAATTCTTTTAGGAGTTTTTCTCCTTCCAGGCAGCCGAGGTTTGGTCCTGATGTCCTAAAATAATCTGATTTAGTCCATGAAGTTTGTAGTTTTCCGAATAAATAAATTATTTTTAAAATTATGGAATTCTGAAAAAAAGTCAATTTGGGAGAAAAAAAACAAGTTCTGACAAATAATTCTAATGGATTTTATGGAGACTCTAAAGTCACAGATCGTCCCGTTTGAGTCCAGAAACCTAAATCTGGCGTCTCACCACGACCGTTGGAGACCAACTGTGGACCACCCTCTGGAAGGAGTCTCCAAAGTGTCTCCAAACGTTTGTGAAGTTGCTCACTTTCCTGGTGTGAATCTCTGAGCTTCATTATTGTGTTTCTGGAATTAGAAACACCCCAGAATGTCTGAAGCTGCCTCAGTTTAGATTTTTATAAAGTGTGAGTTCTTTATTGAACCCGAGTCCAGTTCCAGACTGGTTCTAGACCAGTTGTAGACTGGTTCCAGATCGGTTCCAAACCAGTTCCTAGACTCATTCCAGACTGGTTCCAGACCAGTTCCAGACAAGTTCTAGGCTAGTTCCAGACCGGTTCTAGAGTAGTTGCAGACCAGTTCTAGACCAGTTCCATACCAGTTCTAGGCTAGTTCCAGACCGGTTCTAGGCTAGTTCCAGACAAGTTCTAGACCATTTCCAGACCGGTTCTAGACTAGTTCCAGACCGGTTCCAGACCAGTTCTGGACCAGTTCCATACCAGTTCTAGGCTAGTTCCAGACAAGTTCTAGACCAGTTCCAGACCGGTTCCATGCCGGTTCCAGACCGGTTCCAGACCAGTTCTAGACCATTTCCAGACCAGTTCTGGACCATTTCCAGACCGGTTCTAGACTAGTTCCAGACCGGTTCCAGACCAGTTCTGGACCATTTCCAGACCGGTTCTAGACTAGTTCCAGACCGGTTCCAGACCAGTTCTGGACCATTTCCAGACCGGTTCTAGACTAGTTCCAGACCGGTTCCAGACCAGTTCTAGACCATTTCCAGTCCAGTTCTGGACCATTTCCAGACCGGTTCTAGACTAGTTCCAGACCGGTTCCAGACCAGTTCTAGACCATTTCCAGTCCAGTTCTGGACCATTTCCAGACCGGTTCTAGACTAGTTCCAGACACAGAGGATTACTGTGGCTTATCTGAGGGTAAATTTCTCTTTGAGGCTTTTCAACCAAAATTCCAGTGACTAGAGAACAAGGCACTGAGGCTTGTGTAGGGAAACCCTCGGGAATGTTTCGAGACATTCCAGAGACTCCCTAGTGACCGTTGTTTATCATCCGAGTGAGCAGCCTGAGACGAACCTGAACTCTGAGAGAGTCTGGACCATTTCATTAACAATCAAAACCTGAAAACTGAGTCTTACAGAAAGTTTGTGTCTCCGAATTTTTTGGGGAAAAACTTCAAAACTTTTCCCGTTTTCTCCAGATTTCGTAATTATCTGCTTCTCTTCACAGGGTTTTGTTGGTTTTATGAACAGACACGGAGACCTGGACTGACACGGTCCAGGAGATGGTTGTGAACCTCAGGTTCTCTAGATTCAGGTTCTTGTTCTACATGTAAAACCAGCTTCATCTGGACTCGACGGGTTCTGGTCCAACTCACATGGCCCGCATGTTGTTTTCCGGCAGCAGAGGGATCTCCAGAACCTTGGTGTTGTTGTGGAGGACCTCGTGGCTCGGTGTGGACACAGTCTTCCCCGTGATGCGGTGGACCTGGTAGAAGGCGTGGGGTCTCAGCAGCCGGTCGTCTGCGGTTCCGATGAACAGCTGCAATGTCAGAGGTTCGTTCTCCATGTAGCCGTGGAGCTAAAAGAACACAAAGAGTCCATCAGAACACCTCCAGGACCAAACTCGGGTCAGGGGTCAGACCCTCAGGGACACGTCCCAACACAAAGCACCCATTCAGGATCCTGTCAGCGTCAGCGCGTTTTCTGATTTACGTGTGGCGGTCCGCATGCACGCCCATCCCACAGGAGCCAGGTCTCAGGAGCAGGAAGTGGGAATGCCACCTACAGCGAGCAGAGCGCAGACTTCACACTCCCGTCAGCCCCCTCTCCGAGACAAAGCCAACCGGGTTAAGTAAGAGTTGGTTCTGATGGTTCTGATGGGTTTGAGTAGCTATGCTTTGTTGTTCTGTTTCTTTTCACCTCCCAATGAGTTCAGACCCAAAACTGGAGGAGGAGGAATTTTATCTCCACAGCGCTTCAGATGTTGGTTTCCATGGTTACTGGAGTGGAATCAGCAACATTTTACAAGTTCTGAAGATTTTTAACTGATGTTTGCAGTCTGGATCTGTGTGTGTGTGTGTGTGTGTGTGTGTGTGTGTGTGTGTGTGTGTGTGTGTGTGTGTGTGTGTGTGTGTGTGTGTGTGTGTGTGTGTGTGTGTACATGCATGTGTGTGTGTGTACATGCATGTGTGTGTGTGTGTGTGTGTGTGTGTGTGTGTGTGTGTGTGTGTATGTATGTATGTATGTATGTATGTATGTATGTATGTATGTGTGTGTGTGTGTGTGTGTGTGGGGGGGGGGTGTTAGGATTGCAGGAGGAATCTGTGACTTTGCTCAGAGAATCCTGAACATCTACTGACTTGGAGACAATAATCAAACATCTGGTTTGTTCATCCCGTCATCAGCACCAAACATCCGGCCTCCGAGTCAAAACTCCAAAACTTTTCCCGTTTTTTCATCTGTTAATAAAGAAGCTGCAGCAAACACTTCTGATTTACTGAGGTAATTAAACCACGACGTGGCGTAAGTCCTCCGCTCCTCCACCCTGTATCACCCACAAGAGGAATGCCGGGACTCCGACCACTCTGACCCCCTCCCCCCTCCCCCCTGCAGAACACAAACCCATCTGCAGCTTCCGCTTCGGCTGAAGGAACAACCCGAACGGATCAGAAACCAGAGGAGTTCTGGTCCAACCAGTGGGGTGGAAAATGGTCCAACTAGTTGCCAGTAGAACATGACAGGTGAGGACAGGTGAGCCAATCAGGAGGTCCGGATGAGACCCAATAAAGCAGCAGAGTTACTTTGTCTAAAACCACATGAACATAAAAAAAATCAGATATAAAAACAGATCAGGGCGTTTTGTTGAGACGATACAAGAACCAGACACAAGGACGTGTGTCCCGCCCCTAGTGCCCAGCTCAAGCTTTAAGCCCCGCCCCCTTTGAGTAAACAAATTAGAAATTTTTCTTGATTAAAGCAACATTAAAGAGTATTTAACACTTTAAAGTATTCCTTTAAAAGTGGGTTTAAGGGATTCATGGGGTCGAAACTTTGCTGACTTCTGATTGGACATTGCTCTGCAGCTGTCGGCTAACCAGAAACCGGACGGTTAGGTTCACCAAGGGGAGCTCTCTACCTGCTTTACACCTGTTAGCTGTTTACTCAACAGGTAGCTAAAATAAAGGCTAGCAGTTAGCTTTTTCAGTACGTAGACCATCAAAAAAAAAACAAGAAGAAAAAGAAGGAGTTTATTTTTTTGGTTGGCATCATGGCGGAGCCTGGAAGTAAAGTAGGAGAGTCGTGTCTTTTAAGGTGAAGCAAAGAGCTAAAACCAGAGTGAACGTTGGCGCGACCTACGCTAGTCCGAGGGAGCTAAAGGAGGCTACAAAAGCAGATGATGATGGTGACCTGGCTTTGTTGCAACTGGACTTGTGAGTAATAGTGTTTGTCCAGCAGTGGGGATCTTCTGACTTCCTGCCTTATTTAGCATCAGTTGGCTTGTGGTAGCGTTAGCTCGTTGTTAGCTCTAGCTACAACAGGCTGCTGCAGGGTAGATGTAATTCTTCTTTCAGCCAGTAGGTCCTGCTGCAGCTGGTTAAAGAACACAATGATAATGAGCAGCTGGGTAGG